ACATCCCTTGGCTCCATCCCCCCGGGTTACGCACCAACACACGCACCGCACATCCACCAACCCTCTTTCCACGCACCACAACCCACCCAGTCACACCCGCTTTTTTTATTTTCGCTTCCCACGGCGGCGCCACGACGGGCGCTACGGGTGCGCTTTTTTGTGCGTGCTCCATAGAACTGGAACTGGTGGTCTCTCCTCCTTCTGTTTCCGTCATATTTGTAGTGCGTCTAGTGGTTTTTACTCCATAGGTCCGTGGGGGAGGGGAGAGAGGGAAGGGAGGGAAGGGAGTAGATGTGGATATATGGACGGCACCTCATACCCGGGGGTGTTCTGTTTCTATTTCTACTAGTAGTACTACTGGTACTCCGTATCTACGCATACAGATCCATATATATGGTCTCTATTGGGATAAATAGCCACCCACCACCGATCCACAAACACGTCTATCCCAACTACACCCCGTCCGTCCCATTCATATCCAGAATGCCCTACATGCCCTACGTCCTACATACATGCCCCTCTTCTCCCCCATCCATTCAATCACCTCACCTCACTCACCGACAACTATGTGTAGCACAACATCACGTGTCCCGTCTCACAACCCAACCGGACACTTAACACTCCCCAGGACACTCACACTGACACCGTACAACGTGCTACCCACGCCTCACCCCCCCACCTATCCCTTCCTCCCCACCACTGTGTCTTGCCCTGCCGTGGGTTAGGTCGGGGCGTACCGCAGTAGAAGTGAGTGAGTGTGAGTACCAACGCTTCAGCTCGCGTGTATCCGTCTCACCCTCCGCACGTACACTTCCTGCGCGTAGCCGGCTGGGTTCGGGGTGAAAGACTGCGAGGAGCCGGTTGGGAATACTTGACGAGAAGGAGAAGGAGACTGCCGCGTCGAGGCGCCGTGAAGTACAGACAATGGTGGATGATGTACTCGTACCGTGCGTGGGTGCGTAATATTACGACTGTGTATTCGGCGTATTAGGGGTGGTTAGACGGGTTAGGATGACTACCAGTGTTGGGAGTGCAGTAGTACACCTCCCAAGGTGCACCGCATCCCAGCACAGTTCACACCATCCCCAAGCCACCCAGACCTCAGCCCCTGTGTCCCATCCCCCCCCCCAGTCACAGTCACACTTTGAGTTCACAGAGCGAAAAAGTCATCCTTCGTAGTGCGAATGGTATTCGTACTGCGAATAGACACAATTCCTTCGGCAGTTTGTAGTCCATTAAAAGATAGATGTAATCTTCGTAGCCCATAGTCCACGAAATGGGTGGGTGTATTCTTCGTAGTCCGCAGTCCACGAAAGGATGGGTGTATCCCTCGTAGTCCGCAGTCCGAAAATATAGATGTATCCCGTGCAGTCCACAAACAAATAGACGTATTCCTAATCCCCACCCACCCCCATCCTCATCATCCCATACTCGCACCTCCCACCCAGTCCTCTCATTTCGCCCGGTATAGCTACACCACGCTCACAGACCAACAAGCGGGGCGAACTGACCGCGGAATGCCGCATCCAGTAACCCGTGGGGGGCATCAACGAGCGAGGTCGGACGAGCCGAGCTGAGGCTGAGGCCGGGGTGATGCTGGTGCGAGCGAGGAAGGGGGTGCCGAGCTGGGCTGAGACAGTGGCAGTGACAGTGACAGCGGCCGCCGTGTCGTTCGATATGTGTAATGGCCGACTGTGTTTGTACGAGAGGGTGGAGAGCTGTGGTGAGATGAGGGTCTGTCGTGGGGATACTCCCCTTTCGCATTTGTACACGAGCGCACTGCTGAGACGAGAGGGTCTGTCGTGGGGATACCCTCCTTTCCCATTCGTAATACGAGCGCGCTGATGAGACGAGAGGGTCCTGTCGTGGGATACTCCCCTTTCCCATTCGTAATACGTTCCTCCTCAATCCACTCAGCACGTGAAGGAGCGCGTTCTGTGGTCCCCCATTCTCAGTCTGTACAAGATGTCGCTGCTGCTGGGACGAGAGGCCCATCTCGTGGGGATACTTCCTCTCCCTCCCGCCCCATTTGTAATACGCCCTCCTCAACCCACTCAGCGCGCGCTGGTGCTAGGGCGGGTTATGCCGTCTCCCTCTCCCTTCCTCTAAAGCCACCCCCCCTCCCTCCCCCTAACCCCCTCCCAACGCCGCGCCCAAACCAAGCTCATGCCGCGCCGACCAACCCATGGACACACACTCGCTCACTCCACTCACGACGAATACTGCAGCTCAACCCCCAAGCTCCTAAACGGCTGATCCCTCCTCCTCAAATCAAGCGTCGACCCAACACAAACAAGCAAATCCTTCACCCTGCCCTCCCACACCACCCCCACGCGCCCCTTCTCGTCAACGCGCCCCTTGAACACCCCCGTCACCTCCCCCCTTGCCGCATAGCCGTTCGCATTACCTCGCAGTCCCATAGGCCCTTGCCCCTGCCCCTGTGGTGCGTCCGTCGGCGCAGGGGGGGAGGGGGACATCTCGTCCTCGCTGAGCCAGGCAAGCTTAGCTGCCATGCTCCTGCGGCCGCGGACGGGTACTCGGAAGCTGCGGCGCCAGAGCTCGCACCCGAGGACGAGCTCACTCTCGTAGCTGTAGGCGTTGAACTCGAAGCGGCTGCACAGCGCGAGGTCCTCGCCGGCTTTGACGGCGTAGGTGGCGCTGAAATTGCCCATCAGCGGGTTCAAGGTGAGCGTGGCGGTGAGGGGGATGCCGCGGTAGGTGGGGAGCGTGGCGAAGCGGCCGCCGAGGCTGACGCCGCCGGACTTGTTGAGCGTGCCGTAGTAGGCTTCGGCGCCGGCGGAGAAGCGGCCGTGGATGCGGTCTTCGCTTGAGGGTGTTGCTGACGGTGCGACGATTCCAGTGGATGTTGGGGAGGTGACAGGGGCTCGCGGATCAGGACCGAAATTGTACAACCCCTTCAACCCGAGCAGGCCGCCGTCGGTGGAGTACAGCGCTTCTGTCGAGTATTTGCCGACGTCGTGTTGGTGAAGGGCGAGGATGGTACCACCATTGCGGAGGCGCGAGTTGGAGACGGCGCTGATTTTGATCTGGGAGGTGGGGGAAAGCCGGCGCAGGTAGAGGGCTTCGAGGGTGCTTTGGGGGAGGTAGAGGCGGCCGTATAGGAGGGTGGGCGGTTTGACGACGTCTGCTGTGGCAGATGGGTCGGAGGATGACGCCGGCCATGTTGAGGATGGGGAGGGGAGGTCTTGGATTTGTCGGTAGCCGCGGATTACATCGTGGAGGTTGAGGCGACCGGCCTTCTCGAAGGCGTCGGTGAGGGGCAGGGAGGTATAGAGATAGGAGAGGGAGCCGTTGACGAGGCCGACGCTTCCGAGGGCGTAGGAGGTAGCAAAGTTGGGTGACGACAAAGAGGAGATGTCGACGCGGAAGCCACGAGGGGTATCGAAGTCGAGGAGAGCTGGAGGGGGTCAGTATGGTTTGGCTGGGCGCATAGGACATGTAGCTCACCTCGAGACGTGGCCGTCAGGTTCGTGTAGTTATTCTCGTAGCTCCAACGCGACGCATTGTAGAACGACTGCTGCACAAAATCCATAAACTCCAACATCGCCGCAATCAATCCGCGCAATACACACAATACAGCTTCTAGCCAGCACGCGTCGCCAAGAGACAATTGACTCTGATTCCCGTCTCGGCCCCCCAGAATCATAAACCCGGACAACCCGCACCAGGCCCAACACGGCTAGCGCACCACACCGCCGCGGCAGAAAAGTCTCGATAGTGAAATCGATAGAAATCTCACAATCATATTTACGGAAAACCACCTCCCAAACCCCACCACCACATACACTCCTCAACCACCCGCCAGAATGCCTAAATCCAAGCGCGCCAAGGTGGTCCACCTGACCCAGGTCGACAAGAAGGGCAAGGAGCTCACGCTCAAGCTCTTCGCCAATGTCCAGGAGAGCATCGACAAGTACCAGTACATCTTCGTCTTCAGCGTCGACAACATGCGCAACACCTACCTGAAGAAAGTGCGCGCCGACCTCAGCGACTCTCGGTTAGTTCCCCTCATTTTCCCCATCTTGATCGCACGCAAGCCTAACACCCCCCAGCCTCTTCTTCGGCAAGACAAAGGTCATGGCCAAAGCCCTCGGCTCCACCCCCGAAACCGCCTACCAGACCAACACGCACCTCCTCGCGCCCTACCTCGCCGGCAACGTCGGGCTCCTCTTCACCGACCGCAGCCCCGAGGACGTCAGCGCGCACTTCGCCGCTAACACGCCTACTGATTTCGCGCGCGCGGGCACCCGCGCAACCCGCCGCTTCGCCCTCCCAGAGGGGATCGTGTACTCGCTTGGTGGGGAGGTGGCGGCTGAGGATGACGTGCCGATGGCGCATGGTTTGGAGCCGGAGCTGAGGAGGTTGAACGTGCCGACGAGCTTGACTAAGGGGAAGATCACGCTGCAGAACGAGTATGAGGTGTGTCGCGAGGGGCAGATGCTGGATAGTAGGCAGACGAGGCTGTTGAAGCTGTTTGGTGTCGCGACGGCGGAGTTTAGGGTGCGCGTTGTGGCGTATTGGAACTCGGAGAGCGGGTCGGTGGAGGAGGTGGATGGGGAGGCGCCGGAGGAGATGGAGGAGTAGGGGGGGAACGAAATGTGGCTGGGCAGGCATGGGGTGGGATTGCTGTAGCTATAGAGACCTACAGACTCGGCGTTACGGGAGTTGTGATGAGGAAAAGTAATGAAATGACTTCAATACTGGCTTTGAGGTGTATGTTTTTAGTGAGTAGATATCTATGAATCGATGAATAGCACACATAGGGCAATATTAGATAAATATGGAAGGTACGATTTAACGCTACTGTTCGCAGAAAAATAATGCACGTGTATTGATTGCCTGTTAGAAATGGAAAATCGACCAGAAATACAATTTCAGGCCGTGAAATATCAAAAAATAAGTTGTGCGGAAAGTGGGACAGACACATACATCTATAGAGGGGTCGGTGTTGCAAAAGGCAAAAATAAAAAAATATTAAACGACGTGGGCAGGATTTGAACCTACGCGGCCGAAACCATATGATAGCAATAGGCGTTATGCCATTCTAGTCATACCCATTAACCACTCTGGCACCACGCCGGATTATTGGGAAGGAGGGAGCTACAATGTTTAATATACCAATAGCAGCAACATATTACATTTTTTAACACTTCCGTTGAGAGTCAGCGACTTACAGTGAGTGCATACTGTAAAGACTTATGTTTATGAAGGAGCGACCTATAGTTCCTATTTTTAGACAGGGCAGCTCACAGTGTTCCTGCCGTCTCAAACCCTAAAGAGGGACTGTTCGAAGTCTTGCACCTAATCGAATCTCTCGGTATGGTTTAATTTTTTAGTAACTATTATATTAAAAGGCTCTAATAACTTCTAAGAGTCTTAAATCAATTTCCAATTACTATCTTAAACTAGATTACGAATAGAGTGTATATACTATTTTCTTATTTCTAGTTACTATAATCAATTCGAGTGAAAATAGGATCTATAGACTGCTCTAAGCCTCATAATAGCTGTCATGTATTGTCGGTGGCAACCGGGACCATATCGTAAGTACATAATATTTTTCTTGTTACACTGTTGAAACTCAGGCATAGAAACTCTCCCTTCTGTTCCTTTTGTTAGTAGCTGACCTGCCAATTGTAGCCCCCAGTGATTGAACGCCTTTACTTGAATTTTAATTGCTGTGATTGCTATTGTCATCTACAGCTACTCTTCGGACTTTTTAGCAGCACAGTAGATGGGAGTTGCTTATCTGCACGTGCACCATATTTATTTTGCAATCTACAAACGTTTTGGCAAAGGGTCCTCAAGGTGGAATCAAGTCCTCAACGCCATTAATACCTACAAGACACGAATAAACCAAGGGAGCAGGAGCAACTGCGCCTCTCGATATCTGCGACACCACCCACCGAATAACCCCCTATCGACCTTCAACTAGCCGACACAACCAGTCGCATCCAGAACTCCAACCAGCCAGGCACCAGGCACCATCTCACGATTTCCACAATGTCCCTTCAAGACTCTCCCCCACCCTCCCGGGAAACCATCGCGCGCCAGCGTACCCTCCTGCGCTATACCTCCTTCGGCGCGCTCGTCATCTGTCCGCTGCTGATTGCGCTACCGCCGCGCAAGCTGGACGTCTACACTGTCGCGGCGCTGGCGTCGACGGGACTGAGCGGGAACTACCTAGTTGGGGACTACACAGGGCGGACAATCGTTGACCGGGCGAAGTTTTCCGCAGCGGGATTTATGGTTGAGAGAGCGGAGGAGAAGAAGCGGGTGCAGGAGAGGAGGATGATGGGGGAGGTGTTGGTGAGTGCGACGGATAGTAGGCCCAAGGAGGGGTGGAAGGCGCAGAGGGATGAGAGGGAGAAGAAGGCGATTGAGGAGGGGAAGGGGTATGGGGATTTGATTATGGATCAGATTTGGGATGTGTGGACTTGGGGAAAGGGAGAGAAATAGGTGGGCAAGGAGGAGGTAGAGATGTATGATCAGGGTTTACGACGATAAATGAGCTGGAAGTGTACATAGAGTGTAGCTTGGGATGGGATTATATAGGGACAGATCTTGTAGTAATGTGTACAGTACGGAATATACCCTTCTCTAGTTATCAACCACTTATACAATCTTTATGTGATTATATACAAACATTGAAGCCAAGCTCAACCCGTCGCAGCTTCCTCCAACAACATTAATTTCAGGTAACCCTCCGTCGTCTCTTCCTCTCCTCCTTCCCCTCTACCTCCGCCTCAGGCGACCCCCTCTTCTTCCCAAAACTCTCCCTCTTAACCCTCTTCTCCCTCTTCCTCTCATCCACCTCAAGCGTGCTACTTCGCCTCCTCCTCTTTTTGCTCCCCTCCTTCATCTTCATCTTCGCCCTCTCCTTCACTTTTAGTCGCGCCTCCACTTCCGCACGAAGATCATCAACCTCCACTTCCACCTCCCTCGGAGGTGACGTCCGCTCCACCCTCATCTTCTTCCCTCCTTGTACCGGCACGGAATGCGATGCCGTCTTGGCCTCCCCTCCGTTCGAGCTCGGGCTTGGACTCAACAACTCCGCCTCCTCCTCTTCTCCAGCATTCCTTCGTTTCGCGCCAGGCTCCCTCAAGACCTCCGAGCCGTTGCTGCGCCGCCGCTTCGTGCTGATCTCCACACCGCCCACTTGTCCCAGCATGTCCCTCGTGTGTGTCAGGAATTTAGAGATCGTCTCGTGTCGCGCCGACGCAGGCGGTGAGGTCTTGAGGATCGCGGAGAGGATGCGGGAGTGAGATGTAAGGAGGGTGTGGTGCTGGTGGATAATCTGCGATACTGTCAATTGGTTGCGCTGCGAAGAGTTTCTGGGAGAGTAACGTACCTCTGTCCACCAGTCGTCAGAAGTTTCATCTTGAGCTGGCCCCTTCTGGTCGTGCTGGCCAGTGTGTGCATTATCCTGGTCGCTTTTGCGTTTCCGATGCGCCTTCTTGACTGGGATTATTGGCCGTTGAGGAAGTGCTACGCTCGCCATTGAATCTGTCATTTTGGGCGCAATTTTAAGCAAAGGCAGAACTCTGTGTGCCGCCCGGGAACAATTCAAGCCTTTGGGTGTGGAAACGACACGGATGGATGGTTGTAGGTTGTCCTCGAGGTTTGTTATCCTTATCGGGCTCTTATTTTGGAAGGAACCAGGACCATCGGTTGTTCCTTCCTGAGACCTCGTCTTGGCACACACCAGACCCCAACTCATCGAACGGTTATATCACTAATCGAGAGCTACCCACAGAAAATGGACGCCCTCAGTATTAAATTCTATTTAAAGATCCTAGATTGAAAATTTGGCATTTTTGCCGCCTAGGAATACTAGCTCTCGAGGTGACAAACTTCAGCCAACATACAGCCGAATTTAGTTGTTCAACAAAACTATAATAAGCATGATAAAATGGAAGTTATATCATGTGTGAAAAAATATCTCCATTTGGTCCTTTTTTCGATATAACGTCGAAGACAGCCACCTTCGGGTTGTATAGTGTAGTTGGTTATCACATCGGATTCTGATCATGCGATTCATTCGCTCAATCATTCCGGGGACCTGAGTTCGAATCTCGGTACGACCTTCGCCGGTCAATTACAATTTTTTTTGTCGATGATGGCTATTCAAACGAGTGGGCAAATAGTCAATCAAATGAATGGCCAGCATCAACCTGGGGAAGTTCCGTTGGAGACCCATCATCAGCTATAGCCACAGATGAATTGGGCTCCTGAAACCCCAACCAAAATGCATGCAACAGACGTGATATCAGGATAGAAAACTCGCGAGCCAATCTAGGGCAGGGCACGGAATATATTAGGGTTTATGGATCTCAGAAAACTCTTCCATGCTCGTCTCACTCACTACCTTCACCCAAAGCGGGATTGCAAGAAAGTTGAACGCTGTTGTGAGCAAGCCACACGGGATGGCCTCGATCCGGTATAGATATATACTTGTTGTATCAACGAAAGCTCCGGCGGTGAGCTCTCTCGGAGGCTAGCAACTAATATTCTGATTTTAAGATACGTGTCTAAAAAACCATAGAATTCTCGATTAATCTGTTTCCCCAATCGTCTCTTCCCGCTACCCCTTTCCCTTCCAATATCGGCTTCAGCGCTTTCACCCTGTTACGCTTATATGACATGATCCTACGGATTATTCAGCGTAGCCTCGTTCCATCTACAACCCCGCCGTTGCACATGAAAACCTCGCAGAACACAACCTCGAATTTTCCCCTGCCCTCGAGCCTTTCTAAAATAGCAAGCACTGCTTCAAGTGTCGACTTCGGGTTACTTAAAACGCGAGAATGAGCCTAATTGCGCTGTCTCTTGTGCTATAGGTAGATACTAGCGTAGATCCCGAAAACAGCGAGGCTGTTGTCAAGCATTGTTATATCGAGGTTGTAAGACTACGTCAGATGGATCGCGGCGAAGGATCACTTACGGTGGAAGGATACCAGGAAATAGCTCGGCTCTCACCTAGTGCTGACCCCTAACGAATACGACTTCGATTCACTTCGACTCAGACGCAGGCAAACCTGGCATATTCCTACATCTCTACTAAGGCACAACAAAGACTAACTAAGGTTGGAGTTTGACGAAACGTTACCTTCTACAAGCTGACTTTATGAGTATCACGAGGCCCTGTTCGTGGTTCCTGTCCTTGGAATGCTAGAGAGACATGGCACTACTCCGACACGGTTACCAATGCCGGTCCGAATGTACCATAGCATCAGGTAGAATCAGCAGAAGATCTACACTCGGGTGCACAATTATTACTGGGGAGCATTCCTGCTCCTGCAGACTGAATCTATAAAAAAGAAACCAGGATGGATCAGGTGAATATCATGGGAATAACCTCGAGACACTGTGTTCCTTAAAACCCCACGTCGTCGCTCTTTTCCTTGGTGGCAGATTAAGCTTCTCCTCAATCAGTTTAAGCGTTTCCGTCCCACTATTACCCCGCCAAAAGAATTGAACATGTTTTCAGGTCCATGCCTCGGTTACGCCATCGGGCTCACGCTGGGCCTTGTTGTCTCTGGTGCTAATGCTGCGCCCTGTGATATCTACGGCACTGGCGGAACGCCCTGTGTCGCTGCGCACAGCACCACTCGCGCCCTATATGATGCCTTCAACGGCGCACTCTACCAGGTGATACGTGATTCTGACGGTGCCACGACTGACGTCAAGCCTCTGTCCGTCGGCGGCGTTGCCAATGCCGCTACCCAGGACTCGTTCTGCGCTGCTACTACCTGCCTTATTAGTATTATTTACGACCAATCTGGCAAAGGTAATCACCTTACCCAGGCCCCTCCCGGAGGCGCAGCGAGCGGCCCGGACGCCAATGGCTTTGACTACCTAGCTAGCGCATATGGCGCACCTGTCACCCTGGATGGTAAAAAGGCGTATGGCGTCTTCATCTCGCCGTTTACCGGCTACCGTTGCAACACAGCTACTGGCACAGCTACTGGCGATGAAGCAGAGGGGATGTATGCAGTCGTTGACGGGACTCACTATAACTCGGCCTGCTGCTTTGACTATGGCAATGCTGAGACCAACAGCCAAGATACTGGCAACGGCCACATGGAGGCCATTTACTTTGGCACTGGCGGTGGCAGTGGTGCCGGCAATGGCCCTTGGATTATGGCCGATCTCGAGAACGGCCTGTTTTCCGGCGCTGACCGGGACAGCAACCCTGGCGACCTGTCACAGACCTCCCGATTCGTCACTGCAGTCGTCAAGGGGAACACAAACAACCATTGGGCGATCCGTGGCGGTAACGCTACATCGGGCTCGCTGTTGACCCTTTACGACGGCGTTCGCCCAGACAGTAGCTACAACCCAATGAAGAAAGAGGGTGCCATTATTCTTGGCATTGGCGGCGACAATAGCAACAACGCCCAAGGGACGTTCTATGAGGGCGTTATGACTAGCGGTTATCCGTCTGACGACACTGAGAACGCAGTGCAGGCTGATATAATAGCCGCTGGATACGCTACCACATCTCTGACTAGTGGCCTGGAGCTCACTGTCGGTTCCTCTATCTCGCTGCGAGTTACAACAGCTTGCTGTACTGGAGACTATATTACCCACACTGGCTCTACCGTCAAAATCCAGGCTGTGTCATCATCTAGCACTGACGCCCTCAAACAGCAGGCTAGTTGGACAATTCGCACGGGCCTCGGCTTTAGCTCCTGCTTCTCATTTGAGTCCAAAGATACACCTGGGAGCTTTCTACGGCACTCCAAATACACGATTGTCCTGGACGCTAACGACGGCAGCAAGCAGTTCGCTGAAGATGCCACATTCTGCCCCCAGACCGGCTTCAACAGCGCAAGCAACAACGCTTTGCGGTCCTGGAGTTATCCCACCCGTTATTGGCGCCATTTTAACTCAGTAGTCTATATCGCTAGTAACGGTGGTCCTTTCGACTTTGATTCCAAGACTTCGTTCTACGACGACGTGAGCTTTGAGGTTGGCGCTAGTCTTGCTTAAGTCCTGCCTGGCCCAATCCCTACCAGAATATGCAGCGTATCTTATTTTTCGTACCTTATACCTTGATCAATAAAGCTATTCCCTGGGGTTGCGGCTGCTGAATTTGGCTGGACGCGGTTGCTGCTTTATGCAGTCTTTAATTCTCTGCGTTTATTCCGTTATCTTAAGCCCATTGTTAAATTGTCCATTATGTCTACTAAAGGAATATTAAACCACTATTGATTGCCTAAGCTCTCTCCAAGTGTCTTTGAATCATCTCTTGGTATAACTCCGCCCTCGGCGTCACATCTTCAATCCCAGCAATTTTTGCCTGGTCATCCCATCTCCTTAAACTCACCATCTCATCCCTCAGCGGGTCCTGCTCGAATGCCTCCAAGTCCTTTCCTTCAAATGGCCCTCCCTGAAACTTCAAACTTTGCTTTGACGCCTCCGACAACGTATCGTAATACGCCAAATCAACCGCTGTGAGATACCTGGACCTGTTAGCATCAGCCAAGCACTGCCCCCCCTCCCCCTTTTCCAACTCTACCCTCCTTCTAGATCATCTAGAATAAAATAAATAATAAAAAGGACTCACCTCTTCGCAGCCACATGGCTCCCCACCAGCTTCGACACCTTGTCCCCAAACCCCAAGCCCTTCAAGTACTCCTCTCCAACCCTCTCATGTCCAACTCGACCAACAGAATATTCCCCCATCGACATTCTAACATCTTGCGCATCCTCTATAGGCAGGAACTGGCCAATATCATGCATTAGCGCCGCAATGACGGTTTGGTCATCGCTCCCTAATTGTGTCAGCTAGAACGAATGAGAAGTCGATACATTGAAGTTATGTAGGGATAGAGGGCCGGGGCCGTAACTTATACTCACCAGCTTTTGCAGCGGAGTGGGCGCATTGCAGACAGTGCTCGAGTTGGCTGATATTTTCACCGATGTAATCGCTGGTGCCACGCTCGCAGAGGAGGCGGATGATAGCGTCGGCTGTTTCTGCAGGAGTAGTGTCCATTTTGTTTCAATTGTACTCTTTGATGTAGGAGATGAGGAAGTGTTTGTAATGTAAATAAAAATCATGGGGATACTAAGTGTTTTTATTCGCGTTTAATGAATCCTCGTCGTCTATGTTACAGGAAGGTGGGTTGAGTGGCTGAGAGCTAGCTGGGTCTGAGTTTATCACTCACAATAGCGGAATCTGCCCGCTTGTGGCAACCCCCCCTATGATCTAAACTTATGGCGGTTAATCATGTTTGGCATTGCATTAGGATTAATTGTGGCCATACACCTCTTTATTTTATAGTTTTTAAATTGTAGTATAGCCCTAATATGATATACGTTAAAACTCCAACTGCTTCCCTGAATCAACGGTTAACATTGGGCTTCCAAAGCCATATCTAAGTGCGCCCTCCTCGTACTTCTCCCCCTCCCGTCTCTTGTGCGTCGCTGGCCACAATTTGGCTCGATCAGCGTAGTAATCATTATGCAAGTCTCCCTCACTCTTGCAGTTATAAGTGGCATAAATAGCCTTGCGATCTGAGCTGCTTTTGTTGGCACCACTACGGTGTGCTAGGTAAGAGCCAAAAATGAGTATTTGGCCTATAGCACATTGTGATCAGCTAGAGACTCCCAAAATTGAGTTCAAAATATACATACCGGCTTCCAGCTCGACGGGCAACCAAGTGTGGTTGTCTACCCACGCTGGCTCAATGCAGTTATCCGCCTTCGCGATGGGGACGTCCATCAGATGGCTACCTTCAACAACTTCGAGGCCACCATTAGACATGTTCGATTCGTCCACGGCAATGAGTATCGTTAGATGCTTGATGTTCTTCACATGGGTGTATGCTGTGCTATCGACGTGTGGCGCGAACCCCCCGGAGCCGGCAAGCTTATAATTGACTGTGCCTCTTGGTTAGCTGCAGATAATAAAACCATCTTGCTCCCACCATATTTTGGAACATACTCTTCTCTTTGAAAAGCAGCATGTCTTCTCTTGCTAAGTGGCCAAGTATTCCCAGAATCGTGTCTCCTCGGAGCAATCCATTGAAACCCGCATGGTAATTTGCATAGTTTTCTGTCCGGCATAGTACGGATTTTC